AAATATAAAATACGTGCCTATGCGAGGCAGAATTCTGGTTGAGTGTCGTGGAGCACCTTCTGGGAGTACGTTCACCGCAACTGCAAGGCGGTACAATTGTAAGTCGCAAGTGGTAATTTTTTTTCTTACTGGGAATGGTCAACTTATAATAAAAATATACTGAATTTTGTGTTATAAATTAACAATTTCTTCAATTCGCAGGATGTGCTGTCTGTTGCCTTCTCCGCCGACAATCGTCAAATTGTCTCTGGCTCACGCGACAAGACCATCAAGCTGTGGAACACTTTGGCCGAGTGCAAGTTCACCATCCAAGAAGATGGACACACCGATTGGGTGTCATGCGTACGTTTCTCGCCCAACCACTCTAACCCCATCATTGTCTCGTGCGGTTGGGATCGCACCGTTAAGGTCTGGAATTTGGCCAACTGCAAGTTGAAGAACAATCACCATGGACACAATGGTTACTTGAATACCGTGACTGTTTCACCTGACGGTTCATTGTGCACTTCTGGTGGCAAGGACTCCAAGGCTTTGTTGTGGGATCTGAATGATGGCAAGAACTTGTACACCTTAGAGCACAATGATATCATCAATGCATTGTGCTTCTCGCCCAACCGCTACTGGTTGTGCGTTGCATACGGTCCATCAATCAAAATCTGGGATTTGGCATGCAAGAAGACCGTTGAGGAGCTCCGCCCCGAAGTTGTGTCGACCAGCTCAAAGGCCGATCCACCACAATGCTTGTCGTTGGCCTGGTCCACCGATGGTCAGACCTTGTTCGCTGGCTACTCTGACAAGACCATTCGCGTATGGCAAGTCTCTGTCTCTGCTCACTAAGTTGATGGCAGTTACGTACGCTTGAATGCAGGAGCATTTTTGTTTTTAATTACATGTTTTTATACGTTTTTATGACAAAAAGTAAGTTGCCCATACTGCTGGGCATTCAATCCTATATGTATGTAAAAATGTATGCGAAAAGAAAAATGTGTACTGTATTTAAAATGTTAATTCATTGAGCGCTGATTTGTTTATTATATAAACAAATAAATAACAAGAATGTCAAAAAAACCCAAAAAAAGAAAAGTAAGTTTTGTATTAATTTAGCTGTATTTTAACGTGTAAGGCTATTTAAATCGTAAATATATAAGTAGGGGATTTTAATTTATACACCAACTTGACGTGTTTTCTCTTCACAAATGTAGGAGATTTTGCAATGGCGAATATTTTGCCAGGTGGCAAATTTGTTGGTGTTATAGCACGTTGCTTTTCTGCTTTGGTAAAGATGGTTCTTTTTTCTGCTTTGGCACCTTTTTATTGATTTGGTATACCCTCAAAACATGTGTGTGTGTTGCTTTCGTTGAAACGGCTACTTTGATGCATATTTTTCGGCGCAATTTACATGCCAAATGTGGCGCACACGCTTGCTGCTTTTTTATGCGCGCCTGGTAAAATTCGTGAAGTCGGTATCCGCTGATCAACTTCGACATTAGTTTGGGCAGCTCTTATGATGGTTTGCGCAAACTTTTTACTAATACCAAACGATTTTGATTTTATGATTGCCGTCTCCTCCGTTACGAGTTTGCGCAGTTTCTATGCGAGTTTGCGCAAACTTTTTGCAAATATCACTCGATTTTGACTATTTTTCGCAGCAAAAACTAATTTTCTAATTCAGAAAAATAACTCGTCACTTTTCGTCTTTTTATTGAATGAAACTCACCGGCATTTAAGTATATTTAAATATTTAATTTTCGTTAAACTTTCGTGTATGTATGTATTTACTAAAATTTAAAAATTCCTATAAATAATTCGTAATTTAAATACATATTAAAATATCAGGACTTGGTATGCATATTTTGATATTTTGCTAGATATTTTCTTGAAACAAATATGAATAGGAAGAATAGCGGATAGCAGCAATTCAAATCCTTAATAATTTAATTTAAATTAACCTAAAACTAAAAAGTTGATACGTCATGCCTATAACAGTATCCGACGGATGTCATTCTCCCGGATCTAATCCTTCACACTCGCTTGTTATGACAGTGTGAATCGGATTAGATCCGTGCGGATGCATTCCGTCGGATACCGCGATAGGCATGTACATATATAAAATTGTACACAGAGACATAATTTATTTAAACAGTAATGTACAAAACATTTAAGAAATGTCAGAAATTAAAATTTTATACAATTTGCGATTTTTACAATATTAAGGGTAATCAAAAAGTGATTGCTTTTACCAAAAGGCGCTAAGTGAAATTTTTTCTTTGGATTTTCTAAAGAAGACACATGACATAAGCACATACATATTTTTGGAAATGTTTACTAGCTAACGAATGGGGCTATCTTTGCCTAGTAGAAGCCATACTCCGGTTTGGTAAATTTTTAGGAGGAAATTTTTCGTGTTTTGAAAATATAGAGTTGGAAATCAAAACGAAAAATTTTGTAATGAAATAATATTTGAAAAATTCCAGCGATGCTAATTTTGTTTCATATTGTTTTAATTCCATGCATTTTTGCAAAATGCTACAAAATTTTGTTGGAAAAGTTTTATTTTTTAGCACAATACCGGTTCTAATACACTCTTTGGATTTTGCCTTAGTCCGGTACAAAACGCTGGGAAAGTAAAGCCGTCATCGATTCGCCAACAGTTAGCGAGTGGCGAAACGAACGAACTCAATGAGGTACAACCAAACTCGCTATCGTCTATCCGTGCTAGCTAACTTTGTTGTTGCTTTCACATGCAAAATTGTTCGTTAAGCGACCGGAACTCAAACATAGCAAGCAGCGAAGTGGCGAATCGATGACGGCTTAAATTAGCCTTCTTAGTAGAAACAACAGGCCAAGGGCTATCACTTCAGCAATATTCCTCAAAACTGTTTGGGGAAACCGAAGGATCAGCATTGCTTCAGACAAACACGCGGATATTCCAAGATTATTTATTAAAACGTTCAAATAATTTCCCCCGATGGCTGGTTGAGCAACTAGAAACGTGCAGTTGTTCATTTATTTTCTGGGTTTTTGTCTTGGTGTAAGCGATAGAATAAGTATACTTCGAATAGCTTGTAATAATTTTGATACATTTTAGTTTTTAAAATGGTAGCACGCACACCGCTAAGCCCTGATCTCAATGCAATTGAAAACTTATGGGCAATTGTAAAAAGAGATCTCAGGGAGGAAAAAATTTGCGAAATAATGGTTAATTGTTTCAATTGGTGCGGCAAAGGTCAGATTATTTAGGCTGGCTAACTTTTAAAACGGCTAAGGAGGACAAATAATTTTTAACTTTTGAATCAGTACTTTTTTTGCTTTTCGCCGCTTTAGCCGATTTCTTGCTTCTTATTAAATTACTGGAACATCGACCTCTTTTCGCACTGCACTTTGCATTTTCGGAAAATTGACTACTGCCTGGAATCAAAAGAAGTAGGCTATTATTTTCTTTACATGTTTACCGTTAGCATAAACTCAAAAATCAGAAAAACCGTATCATTGATTATTATATTCTATGTAGTGCCAGTTTGATGAAATGGTTCTCAAGTTCAGATTTTCCTTCGTTGTCTTCTATTTTTGAAAGTAATGTACGATCTTCATATCCAAACAAATAAAAATGTGAAATAAAACAAAGATAAAATAGAAGTTGTCTTTGGCTTTTGAGGAGCGACATTTTACTCTTTGGGGAGGACCGAGCACATTTCTTTCTTCCTTTGTACCAATAGGGAATAAAATAATAAAAAATATAGGACAAATTTTTGCTTCGGAAACTCAGCCGTCAAATCAAAAATAGCCAACGTCAAAATTGCCCACCTGAAATTAAGCATATGTACACACAACGGACCAATGGTTAAAAAAATACACAGCGAATTTATATCTAAGCAATTCAAAGATATGAGAGCTGAAATTATTTTATAATCATTATGGCTCAACGCTAGAGGTCGTGCCAGAAATTTCATCGAAATCGATTCAAAATTCAATGGGTTAAGCTCAGATTAAATTTTTAGTGCTAGTGAAGTAAGCTTAAGCTCAACACTGAACCAGAAACTGAGTCGTGGTAGCTTAACACATTCACAGCTGAGTTAAAAGATCCACGATATTTGTAAGCTTTTTTGTTGTTGTTTTTTTTTTAAAGCCCAATTAGCGCATTTCATATGAATAACGCGATTTTTTTTCCTGCAAATGACTAAAAATTTCACTTAGTGCCTTTTTGTAGTGTTAGACGACAAAAAGTACTTTTACACATCGAAAAATATCAAAATTTGCAAGCGCACTTTTTGCTTCGTTGCTGTTACGCAAGTAAAAAGTCATATGGTATGCGATTTTTATAATATGTGTACATCGACTTAAATTTATATAAGCATACTGCAAAATTGTATGCATTTTTTTTTTTTGAAAAATTTGCTTTGATTTAGAATGAAATGCTTAGCAGCTAATAAGAGGGCACATAAATAGTTTTTAAATACGTATTTTTCGCCCTTTTTCAAATTGTTTGTTCTTGTTTCGTTTTAGAAAATTTACTAATGCTGGGGGCACTTGGCGACGGCGAGACTCAAATCAATCCTTTTGATGACGCTCATCAGATAGTACATGCAAACATAAGCATATTTGTGTATGTATACATATGTACGCCCATATGCATATACATACATACATATTTGTATGCAAATACGTAGTTGACCAAAATTTATTTCGTACCAACGCCACTATTCGAGCGAATTAAATTTGTCACGGGAAATTTCGCAGCATTATTGGCTGTGGGCAATTTATTCGTTGCAGTCGCATTATTTGCGGTTTTCGATGCAGATGCACTGCTGTCGCCGTTACCGTTAGTAGATGTGGTGGCCGAGCTAATGCGATAATTACCATTGCGAAAAACTACCAACAACACAGTAATATTATCCACTGAGCCACGCTGATACGATTCCATGGTTAACGCTTTGGCGCCATAGTCAGCTTCATGCAAATGCTTTTTGATAAAAGTGCAAGCCTCCTCATTATTGAAGGTGTCCCATAGGCCATCTGAGGCGAGTATGAGAAATGCGGGTCTGCAAGAAAAATGGAAGTTAGTGATATCTTCGCTTATGCCAATTGAAAAACTCAAATGCACACTGACTTGTGATCGTTCAATTCAAAAGTTAGTATATCTGGATTAGCTATGACTAGATTCTTGTCCTTCAATGGATAATCGCCAAGCGCACGCGATGTCGCCAATATACCGGCTACACGCCAAACGCCGCGAAATGCGATAAAGCCGCCAGCATCATGAATGCGTTTGCGTTCACGCACCTATTAATTTAAGAGAGATAAATTTATAAAACAGATAGCAATTTTTAAAATTAAATTAATAACAAGCATTTAATTTGTTTTAATTACCTGCTGCGGCTTGTGATCGAATGACAACGGTATTGCTATGCCACGCGCGTCACACATAACGCCACGTGAATCGCCCACATTAGCCACGGTCAGTTTGGTGCCTTCAATGACGGCAATTAGCGCTGTAGTGCCGGCTATGTTGGTCTGCATAAGATAAGGAAAGACAATTACTTACATTGCTGCTGTTAACTTGAGGCATTTCGCCAACAACTTACTGTCTTTTTGGCTGCCTCAACCAATTTATAATCTGCTGCGAGCACTTCGTCTGTAATTAATTTGCCGTAATTAATTTTGCCATTCTCTATGTAACACTTGGCGTCGAAATTTTGTGGTGGTCCATTCTTTTTGCCACCATCGCTGCCAGCATCTTTGCCACTGCCGCCACCGAAGAGGGCATCCTTCGCCGCATTGCTGCCGCGCATTAGAGAATTTAATTTGGAAGTAAATACATCGGTGTCCTTTTGTTTTTTACCACCCGATGAGGCCTTGCAATCGTCTGCGGTGCTGTTGTGAAAAAGTAAATAAACAAAAACAAATATATATAAATTTAATAGGTGGAAAAATAAAACTTGAATAGACCAAAAAAGAAGTGATGCAAACTGTTGATAAAGTATACGCTAGTGTACATTAAATGATAAAGTTTTTTGTGCCGCCACTACATTTTTAAAGTCCTCTGTTGCTGTTGTGCCTGCACTTTGTCTCCAGACAGTCTGATACTTATTGTTGTGCTAAGGCGTAGATCTATGACTGCGTTTTCAAGCGTATATACAATCACTTTAAGGAGGCGGCGGAGCCAGGGGGATAGATTCCCTTCTCTTCGTCAATATACTCCTAATTTTTACTTTTGATTTATTTAATCAATACCAGTTTATTCTCCTAATTTTTACTTTTTTTTTTTTAATTCAGGCTATTGACAAAATACATTTTTAGAAATATTGGAGATTTGTTATATTGTGCATTTGAATATTGAGCATGTGCAAAATAGCCTTTTCAAGAACGTCTAAAAAGACCAATGACCTTTTCGGACGACTCAAAAAAATAAAAAATATTTCGACGAACTGATAACCTCCTCCTATTTTGAAGTCGGTTAAAAATATGAGAGGAATTTAACGTGTGCATATCAGACCGAAGTAATACCGCAATTTTCTCAGTCTGAAATTGCTGAGGAAAAATTCTACACCCTTCCCTCTCCCGCCCCTGAAAACCCGTATTCAGACGGTCTGAAAATACTAGTGTGTGCACTAGACCGTTCGTTAAAAATAAAATTTGGTTTGCCGGGCGGAAAAAGATGTGTTTTGGTCTAAAAATAAGCTGTGCAAAATTTTATTCGAATATGATAACTCTAAGTACTTGCGCGTTGCATTTGAAAATTTAGAAAACCATATGCATTCTGGGAAAATTTTTTTTAACAAAATAGTTGAAAGTCGTGAATTGTATAGTCATTTGCCATGTAAAATAACCTACACAATCTGAATATGAGGTCAAAAATTAAAAAAGTAGAATAGGTTTTAAGAATTTGCGAAATTATCGTTTTTTTCAAATTGAGAAAACAGCATTTTCAATTTTTTCCAAAAATATCCGGTTGTGATTATCACACCACAAAAAGATCTCCACCAGATTAAAGGTCTTTGAAATCCCTACGAACCTGCTATACAATGTTTTGCAATCAAATTATCAGTTTAAGAGTTATCTGCCAATTTATTAGTGAAATCGGACTCAATTTTAAGTCGCATCGTTATTCTACTGTGAATTACACCTAGAAGCTGCAAACTTTTTGTTCTTATTTTTATGCTATATTAAAGCTTATTTGATTTCAAAGTATATAGATCCAAATTTTTTGCAAATCGATTTGAAAATAGAAAAGTTATAGCAAATTTAGTAAATGACATTGGATTCAAGCAACGTATCGATACTGTACAGCACATTTGATTGTAAAATAAATTAAAATATCTTTTCCAGTGGCATGTTATGCACATCGCAATTAGAAAAACAGCTGACAATAGGTTTGTTTCATTAAGCAATAGTTTTAAATATTTTTTAACAATTGTTACAAATTATCATGCTTTGGCTAGCAAAAAAGTTGATAAAATAAAAATAAATAATAATAAATAATAAAATAATAATAATAATAATAAAATAAATTGAGATAGCAAAATAACATTTGATTTTTAGATAAGGTTTGGAAGTTTCTGCGGGATACTTTTATACTTGTAAAACTGAAACAATGGTACTTATTGAATGTATTATGTATTTATATTATGATCCTTATTT